CCCCTGCCTGTGATCTTTTTCAGGTATTTAATATGAACTGACATGCCCTAATGCTTGCATGCTTACACAACAATCTGTCAAATTTTCCATACACTCTTAACAGCCTGTAAATTCACTCCTAACAGCACCCCCTCCACTCTTCGAGTATAGGCCAAAAGGGTGAATATTTACAATACCATGCTTGTGGAACATTACTATCTATAAATCTTACAATTGTTTGGTGAAAAAAATTAGGGGACCCTCAAGGTTTGAGTAGAACACAACACTGATATCCTATCCCTAGTGCATACTCCAACCACCTAGTGCGTACTTTTTGCAGGGTAACATTACTTGAAAAGTTTATACTGCAGAATATTACTACGTAGTCAATGTTTAGAGTGGCTTGTGCTAGTAAGGGTTTCGCATATAGTTGCAGTCTGCGTAATGGATTTCTAAATGGTGGCTAAGCGAGCTTGTTGATACGTACACATAGTTACTTCGAAGAGCACAGAGATGGGACACAGGATAGACCACGCAATACAGGTACTGTGTAGTATGCTTTAAACCACGAGCAACTATGTGCATGAAATGTTTTTAAACTTGATATGCACCCAGTACATGGTCCTAAGAGGATACTCCAGTAGCATTTGTGCCTGTTGTTTTTCGTGGCTGCTTTAAACAACGAAGCCATTATGATAATCACACGTTCTGATGGCCAGTGGCATTGCACATTTGTACCATGAAATACTGCGATATTACATATTGTATTGTGAAGCGTGTATACTAGACGCGTGTATTTGTAAAGCATGAAAATTATTTTTGAGCAGGCATGTGGCTTTGTGGTAGAATGCCTGCTTGCCACACAAGCAGCTTGGCTTCTATTCTCACTCAGACCTAGAAGGTTTTATTTGTTATTCTTTTTATTTCCAGGTTTTTATATAATAGACCAGATGTAAAGTGAACATGGAGAATTTCATGCACCAAAAAAATGCCAACACTGCAGCTGTACAGGCCGAATCACACTTGTCTAGAGCAGCGGAGCGCATGGCTCTTGTTAGTGACGGCTTCTACGTCACCTTAGCTACATGCTTCTGTTCACGCTTAAATTATCGCGCAAAGGCCTAGCACGCTGTATGCCATGTTAGATATTCATACGGCGTCGGCATTAACATATTTCTGCAGAAAACAGCAACTGGAGCGGTCGGCTGGGTGTTTTAGACAAGTGTGATTCGATCTGTAGAAATATTAAGTGATTTAACACTCCAAATTTAATTTTCTTGTGTTCGATTCAATAGTCATGATTTGCAAAACTGTATATGTTTTAAAAGTTTACTAATGTTTTAAAATGTTAAGCACACCAAAATAAAAAAAAACTTGTGCAACAGTATGATACACAGCATCCGCCCTGGCACATTAAAAGAAAAAAGACTTGAGAAGTTGTGTAGCGCAGCTGGCTACTCAGCGCCAGGAATGTGCTTGTACCAATGAATACTTACCCTTTCTTAACGGTTCTGTGGATTTTGAGGGCCTGATTATTTTCTACGGCCAATAAATTTTTTGAATGTACATTTCTTTTATGTCACTGGAAAGCTCGTAATTCAGAATGTCTAATTACGCATTGGCAACACAAAAAAGGCAATGAAACAGTTTTCACCAAACGTTGTTGCTGATGGAGTCTCATATGCAACACATGTTGAAAACAGTGGCCTACAGCTGTTCACTGCATTGGTACCAAATTCTGCCATGACATAGTGCATGAGCAAAGTGCTGGAGAGATGGTGTGTGCATGCACTGTGGTTCAATGCAGGTTTTTTGTTGCTGTGGAGGAAGCTCCACTGCTGAGCATCAATTTCTTAACCTTTTGATGGTTAATAGGATGAATGCATCCCACTTTTTCCTCAGTAAAACTTTCTCTGCCACTTTACGTTGCCATCAGCACAATGCCTTCCAGTTGTGGTGTACCAGAAACATTAAGGAAACTGAGAAACTATATATTGCACATTTACAATGCATGGTATCAGTGATACGTTGAGTTTAAAATCTTTTATTCTGTTAATATTTTTTTTTCAGCCGGTGTCATATTGGGTACCAGGTAGCTAAAGTTTCAAATTTATGGTATTCTTCTGTTCAGATTTTTTAAAGAATTTTAGCATGCAGCTATAGATTTTCTTTCTAAATTGCAAAAATTATATCTGCCTAAAATCATTGTGGAAGTGCACTCAAATGAAAAATGAAGCAGTTCCTTGCATAGCCTAACAAGATAGCATACATGCATAACTGTTTTTTCATGTTTGATGGATGCCACAAAACAGCACATTCTTTGATATTTTTTATTATTAGGAGGAGAGACAATGAGACCAAAAGCTGTGGCTAAGACACTGTTGCTAAAATTTCGGGCCAAAGGAAAAATATGGCAAAATTGCTGCTTCATACAGCCAGGAAGCCAAAGAGAACACGAATATTCAAGATCACCAAATCATGCAAGATATATGAGAAAAACAAATATGTCACACCTGAATGGAGTTCACAAATATGATGCAGCATTTATAAATGCACTTACAGCATTCAGTGCATTGACACTACGTCAAAGTGGCTTGCCATGATTCATTACCACAATTTTAATTATTTGCAAAAATGCAGGCTTAACTGAGATGTTCGCCCTTATTCATTGCAGATACAAGACAAGACATGCATAGACACAGCTTCATTAAATGTGTATGAAAAGCAATATTCTCCTTTTTCTTTATTTTCATATGAATGCGTGCACTCATCTATGCCTGCTGTTTTCTCCTTGTTTTCAACGAGTTTCAATATTATCGCCACCTACCGACAAGACAGACACAAGCTGAAAGGGTACGTGTATGTGAAGACCTTGGGACATAGCCGCTAGACTCAATGCCACAGGCAGAGGCGCAGAATTGCATAGAAAATCTGAAATTAAGGTTCACTGCAATTTTTCTCCCACAGTTTTAGAAGTGTTCCTCTGTACTGCTTCCATTGGGCCTTTTTGGGCAAGAAATTTGGCAGCAGAATTACAGCTTAGTGCCCTTATGAGACAATGTGATATGTGTTGCCCCACTTATTCAAAGATGATTTATTGGTCGATGAGCCACATGCGTCCCACTTTTTTCTCATAAATTGATGGCCATATTTTAGTGAAGATTGTGTCACACTATTTTTAGGCATGAAGTTCTGCAAATTTCTGTTATTATGTGAAAAATATCGATGAATTCACGAAGGGTAAGATAAATTGCATAATAAGCAAAATTGAAACTGAGAATGCAATATATATACTATATAATTTGAAGCCAGATTAACGATTGTCTGAGCTGCAGCAGGCAATGTGCAGAAATTCTCCAGAACCCGATACTAAGCTTTTGCCATGAAGCGGTGTAATGGCACAGCTGCTGTGATTTTCAAACACCATTTCAAAATACATATACAACTCAAATTACTCAAGGAAAAGGGAGCTTGACTTTATCATACTTCTGCATGTTTCCCAATTAAAGAAAGATCTATTTACACTTCCTGGCCAGTTAATTGCTGTACCCCTAAACAGACATAAAAGTGAAAACCATGACATTTGGTAGTCTAACAAAGAACCTAGGGATTTCAACATCACACCAATGTGATTTGGCATAAGCTGTAAAAGCTTATTCAATCAGTCATACATTGTTACCCTTTTATGCCAGTTTTAACGCGATAGTTTTAAAAATCTCGTGGGCATCGTTGATTGTGAGTGATGAACCTTGTGAGCAACCGGAAAAATTAAGAAAGTTGCAAATCAAATAAGAAATAAAAAATTTCCCAGTTTGTGGGAGGATTAAGCCCAGACCGTTTGCATGGCAAGCAGGCGTTCTACCGCACAGGCACACATCTGCTTGGAAATTAAGGAAAATAACTTCATCTGCTTGAAAATGCAGTCAAAATAATGTTAGGCTTTGCAAACACATGTGTCCTGTATACTGCCTTCACAATTCAATATGTAATATCACAGTAATATTTCTTGATACAAGTGTGCATTGTAATCAGGCATCAGAACATGTGATTATCTTAAGGACTTCATAGTTAAAAGGTGGCCAGCCATAACAAAACGCACACATTTTGCTGCACACATTTCCTTCAGACCACATAGTGAGTGCATACCAAGTTCGAAAAGATTTCATGCACCAAGTGCTTGAAGTACGCACTAGGGCCAGGGTATCATTATCGTGTTCAATTCTTGAAAGCGAACCTTAAGGGTCGCCCAATTTTTCTTTTTTAAGTGATGGAAATGAAGCATTATTCTAACCATGGATATTTTTATGCCAGCAATTACACTAGTAGGTTAGCTCAGTGAGCCATTTTTGCATTTATATCAGGTTTATTTGACTCAAAGAAAGCAATATTATTTTCAAATGGCACTGTATGCCAAAGACCTGACATGGTGTCTATTGTTGAACATTAATCTCCAGGTATCCTCGGCCCTCCCTCTTTCCCTCGTTGAAGGGCCTGTTTTTTTGTTTAAGAAAAGGTGGCAACCCTGGTGGCCGCAAAGTGTGAAAACAGTAAAAAAATATTGAAGCAGGTTGTGTAGACAACAATCTACAGACAGTGAGTGGCATACAGAATTGATTTGGCTGTCTTTAATGTGAGTGTGTGTGAGGGGGGGGCATGAAAAAAGCTGCTACAGGGCCAAAACAGATGCCTTAATTGCAGTGGCAACTATGCAAAGGGGCAGCTGGAAAGTCTACTTAAATCTTCCAAACATGAGCGTCTTGAATTCGCTGTAGTTTTATCTCGAACAAATTAGGACTTGAAAAAAAAAAGAAAACCTAGTCCTCATATATTTGAAACAGGCACATATTGCAAGAAGGCTGTTGATAAACCAGGAACAAGTTTAGCCATGCCTTCATTGTTGTCAATTGTGAGCACACAATACATACCACAGCGATACTTTTGGGAAGCACACCATGATGTGATCGAGGTTAGGGGCACAGGCTTTCACCCATGTGCCGGGGAAGAAGACACCTTTGAGAGGCTTTTTGACGACAGGAACACACGATTTATTTACATATTTACAGGTGTAAAAAACACAAGGTGTCGACATGCGCTTTTACAGGAGACAGGACTGGCCGTAACGAAGGCCACAGAGAGAGCCCTGAGTGCACACGCGACGCGCTTTTCATATCCTCGGTCCGTGCATGCGCCTCTCCTCAAACTTGAACTGTCTGTCCCAGCAACGTCGATGCGTGTTCCCTGCAGCACACCGAGACACCTCTTGCGTTTCTGCTGGACGCGTACCACATTTGGCTGGTACGCCAATGAGCGTCTATTGCAGACTTGGTCCTTGCACTGCCAGTCATAACATTTGAATGGATACTGGCAAGCTAACTGGCACCTCCGAACCTGTGCAGCTTTAGAAGATGGGTCCCATCTGCAATGAACCACTTCTTAGCAGCAGAAGAAAAGAAAACAAGAATACTTCTTGGTTTTTTTGTTGTTTTTTTTGCTTACCCGAGGCAATATTCCAACCAGCGAATTGAAAGCAGAGCATAATAACCCATGAGCTATTTATGCATGGTGACAGAAGAAATCATAGCCTTAAATAGTAAGTAGTATAGGGGGTGGGAAAGGCATGGGAGGATGCAAAGGAGAGAGTGAAAAAGAAGATGGGAGAACCATTAGAAAGAGGAGAGAGAAAAAAACAAGGGGAGAAACCAATTGCGTAGGGAGAGCAAAAAATACAAATATATTAACTAAAAAAAGCAGGGTTGTGCAAATATTCAAATGCTTCGAATATTTGAAGGAACAGTACTGTATTCAAACTAGCTGCGACTCGATTTTAAATTATTGAAAATATTGAAGTATTTGCAATGAACAAATAGTTAACATTGATCTGCACATAACCTCCTGTGAAGGTGATTTCACTGAAGCATAAAGTGCTATGCTGTGAAAGCACCTATCCAAGAGAATTCGCACTGCCGCAAAACCTCTTCAAAGTTTAAGGGGCACTGCAACTCTTATTGAATATGGTTGTAAAATGCAGCCAATCGGTAGTCAAGACTCCCGAGAACAGGTGAACCAAATATTGTTGTGCAGCACAAGGCCACAATTTCTCAATAAATGTTCCAATTCACCTGAAAATTGCTTTCCTTTCACTTGACAAATTGCGCTACAAGCTCAAAAATTACCCATCACAGCCATTGTATCAGCGATTGGCTGATTCGAGCATGGTACGTTGGACGTTAATGGGGCCAGGCTCACTTGGACTATGATCGAGTCGGGAGTGTGAGTGAGTACAGCTGAGTAATATTACATGAGTTTGAGTTAGAGTGAGTGTGGCTAAGGAAAATTTTAATGAGCTTGAATCCGAGTGAGGAAAATATTTGCAAGTCTGAGGTGGTGAGCCCTAAGCTCAACGTGTATTTCTTGGGTGAGCCTTAGTGAGCACCACATTTTATTTCTGACCTATGTTCCTATATACCCGCCTATCAGCATAACTATCGACGTCATATTTGCTTACATTGCTAATCAAGTCTGTTCAAGCATACATCAACACACAACCGTTCATGCGGTTATTGCACAGAGGCGCAAGTTAGGAGATAAGGGGGTCGCCAAGACCTCCCTTCACAAACTCGCTCATGGGACATTCATGGCAAAAATTTCTGATGTGAGCTGCATATTTCATAAAAATATTCTTATTGGATTGCGACTAATGACAGCTGTTCGCTCACTCAGACACATGTCAAATCGCGAGTCTGAGCGTGCCGAACTGAGTAATATTGACGCAAGGCAAACGCAGTATTCAAACTACGCGCGCTAGTTCGTGCGCCCCCCAAGAGATCAGCGGCTTGATGATCAAACAAGAAAAGGCCGTGACGGTGCGCGCCTCCTCAGCACGGCATTTTGATGAAAAAGAAGTGGTGCACCACTCGAGGGTTCTTTCGGAAACTGATCCCTTTTTGCTGATCGCCTGTTAGAGACGCCGCTATATTTTCCTTTACTTTTCGGGCACAAGTTCGCCCCAATAAACAGTTATTCGTACATCATTTGAATTGTACGTAACAATATGTTGGAAAGTTTGAGCCGGAGTGAGAGTGGTTGACAAACAGTTTAGAGAGTCCCAATTAGTTCTGTTGAGCTAAATTTAAGTGAATTTGAGTCCAAGTGAGTTTCCATGGTGAAATGTATTTCTTGAGTGAGTTTAAATAGGTTCCACTTTTTCTACCGGCCTAGGGCTGCTGCTCTTAAACATCAACACTTAATCCTTGGGCAGCATTGAAGCAGCTGCAGCCATTCAGCCCTCATGCCTGCGATGCAGGATCGTTTTACTGAGGCAGGGTCTTGTTTCAGGAAAGGATGAGCCAGTTTTTCACACACAAATGTCAAACATTTAAAATTAAAGTAATTTTAAATAAAAGCAAAACAATCACACTGAAACTGCACCCATTACCAAACTACTAAGACAAGCATAGCTTTGTAATTAAATGAAGTTCTGCTGAACATTTCAAACAAGAACAGTCACTAGTAGTTCCAATGCTGGTGTCACCCACAGTGGCAGACTCATTCTTTGCAGGTGTATTTGTTGGCTGAAGCAGAGGAGAAGCCCAATTCACCCATAAGTCATGGGCAGAAGTGCTTCAGTCACAGTGTGAAAACAATCTCCAAATGTGAGCAGACAGATCAGAACATCTGATAGATAGAGCTGCAAGCGACAGAATGTCCCTTGCAGCTTCTATTTCTTCTTTCTTTGTCTAGTTGTAGTGCTGTTTATAGCAAGTTCACGACGTATTAACAAGCCTGCATTAACACTTTATATCAGACAGACCTACCCATGCATGCACCATGGTGGCTGGTCACTGCACCATCGTGGCTGGTAACCAGAAGCGGGAACCCGCTCGCCAACCTAGACGGCTGATTCAGCCTCCCAAAGGCAGGTCAGGACCAGGACATGATGGCTGGCAGCAGGTCCTTGTTATGGTCTCGTGAATGGTAACCAACATGAGCACTGCACTGATGTTACACGCACATCACAATGTCTAAGTATATGCACTGACTTAAATTTGGGTGATGTGTAAAAACCACTGGCCGCTAACAGCAGCAAAAATATGGGTGTCACTAATATAAACCATGACTATATGCCTGTTGGTCCGCGGGCATAACTGCCTGTACCATAATATGAAGCAGCTTTGTGCAACTTCACATCATGGAACGTTTCTCTATCCGCCACCCGAGAACGCGCTCTGTAGCGGTCAGGCTCCGCCCAGAGTCTTAGACAGTATGAAACTCATACAGGCCATGCTGAACTGCTGCCTCAAACTGCAGCCAGTCTAATGGAATCAAACTTTGCCATAGCAAACATTTAGGCTTTTACGAGAAATGATGCTGTTTTCTAGGGAATGTTCAGAATATGAAGTATTTGTTAATGCATTAGAAACATCTTACATTGTAATACAATCACATAAAATTTATTTACAGTTGAAAAAGTAAATTTTCACCAGCTGCCCGCATGAGCTTTCATTTTGCCGAAGTATGTGTTTCCACTAGCACAGCTTAGAAAATGAAGTCAGGCATTCAATCACAAAGGAACAAATTTTCTTCATCTAAAAGGGACGCTAAAGGCAAAAAATTTCTCTTGTTCGAATGATGAGTGAAAGTTTAAGAATGCCTAAACGTCAGTATTATCTACAGGGCTTAGTTCACCAAGAAAGAAGTAAATGTATGATAAGGCTCCAGTCACCCATGCCATATTCTGCGAACTCTGTAACTCTATAAAATGACGTAGTCGAGTCCCAGATAAAGTAAATACTGAAACTGTCCACAGTGGAAAAGACGATTTCAGTGCATTAAACTCTGGTATGAAATGCTTATTTTTTTATAAGTAAGGTTTAACGTCTCAAAACCAGCATATGATTATGAGAGACGCCGTAGTGGAGAGCTCCGGAAATTTCTACCCCTTAGAGTTCTTTAACGTGCGCCCAAATCTGGTATGAAATGCTGCTTGGTTCTTTCTATTTCTTTCTTTGAACTAAGAGCCGCCGACAAGACTCATGGCTAGCTTCAATCATCCCCCAAAAACGGGAGGGGGGCAGTGAAAGTTCTCTCAAATTACCTACCTGTGCCACAAAAGCTTCTCCGAAGCTACTGACTGGTGTCTGCTCATAATAGCAAAACTTCCCTTCTACCACGCCTGCTACTACTGTATTTCACGCCACCTAAGGGACAAAATGTCAAGAAGACCTACTTGGAAAGTTGTTTAAATACCAGTTGTAGCATGCTGACCACTTAATATATATCTGCTTTTTAAACAAGGCATTTTCTTAGCACGGAACAAACAGTGCACCACAAACAGTGCACCAACAGTATGCCTTTAGGGCCCCTTTAAAAGGTTTCATACATTTATATACTTAAACATCTAAAAAGGTTGCAACATGCTAGGATGCTCATGGTCCCTAAAATATACCGCAAAAATAATAACTTTCTGGCCTGCGTTATTCACACAGTTCATTTTATTGACCGATAGGCATCAAACTTTATTAACTTTTCCTCAAACCACTTAGTTTTAAAAAGCAAGGTGCATATAGTATAATGGTTTGCATTATTTTCTGGATAAATAACGCCTGCAGAAAGTTATCTCACTGGATAACATGGACCAAAGAATGTCATTTTAAAATTCTTTGTGGGGCAGAAGAACTAAGAATGCTAATGATGATGACCGAGTATATTAATAACCTAGAGTTAGAATCTATAGAAAGGTCTCAAATCAGCAGCTATAGAACTATATGGTTTCAGTTTAAGGCTGGTTTTTTTAATGGTTTAAACATGTAATATTACTTTGGAGCAAAAAAGCAACTTGACTTGGGTTTTATCCTGGGCACTTGCATTGTAGCAATAGGGAAATGCACCATCTCATTGTCTGCAAGACATGATATTAAATGCCTGCGCATTAAGGTCTTATCAAAAGCAACGGTGCACGGGTCGACGCCAGATGCAATGGTGAAAGCATTAGCAATGGCAAAAACGCCACAGTCATAACAGTTTTTTAAAACATGCAAACGTAGTCTTTTCTCTCCCCGCTTCGTATCATGTGCACATCTCTTACGTGGTCGGCCGCGAGCGGATTTAACTAGAGGTATGCTAAGCGCTGTCAGTTGCTGTGCAAATTCGCTAGGCGAAGAGCTAGTGTCCGATGTCTTTGCTAGAACCTGACATACCTTATCATCATGCGAGGCTATAGTAAAGTTAATTTCATCTTTTGAATCAGATTTAACTTGACCAGATTGCACTTTCAGTTGCGATTTATTTTCTGTGGAGCCCTTCTTCATAGTGTCATCATTTACAGACTTGGCCAATAGATAGTCGTTCAGGTCTACACTCCACAAATTACTTACTTCTTTTGACTTTTCTAAGCCTTTTCCTTCCCCACTAACGTGTTCATTACTTTGTGCTATTTTAGGAAGTGGTGAATCATGTTTCTCATTTCTAGGGTAAGTAACAAGATTTGGGAAAAAGTCCTCACACTCGCTCAATTTTTCGCAAAGTTCAGTTGCGCTACATTGGGCTAGTACATTAGCAGCTTCCTTTGAAAGTTCCAACAGACGTGCATATGCATATTTCTATCTGGCCTCTGAGTTATCAAGTTTTGGCTGTACCTTTTTTACCATGCTTGTGGTTTAAATGCTTAGTTTGTCTGGTGACACTGTCTGGTCGGTCTGCACAAAATCAGATTTAAGCCAGAGCTTTGAAACACAACTTTCATCAAACAGTTCCATATTATTTTTTGATCTAGCTGCAAGAATGTGCCTGCAGGGCAGCTGGTACTGCGCATTAAATGTGTATATGCACGTCCTCATATTATTAGTAACTTCATAAAGCTTACTGCCAACAAAAACGGTGCATTTGCCATCAGAGACAACACAGTCTCCTGGATATTTCATAAACAGCCCATATTCTTTACATACCGATTTTCTAGCATATTTGGTGCATTTTGTTGACACCTCAATGCAAAACTTATCAGTCTTACTGGTGTCAATGCAAGTTCTCATTTCTTTATATTGCGTATGGCTGAGTGCTAGAGCATCGTGGGTCACATACCTTATCAGAGCTTTCACTGCTTCCACTAAGTGCATGTCACGTGTTAGATAATTTTTTAACTTTTGATTATGGCTTTCCATTCGATTGTTAGTATTGTTTCCTAAACTACATGCATTTGCACGATAAGCATGAACCCACATGATCTTGCAGCTGTGCCGATTTTTGTAAAAGTACTGCAGAAGGGCTTTGTCATTTTCAAGTGCTTTTTCCAAGTCCTGCAAGTGCCTTTGATATATATCTATGGTATGTGCAAAAACCAGTTTCGTAATCATATCTTTAACATACTTCTTATCTAGACTGACTTATGCTGCATCACTTTTGTGTGTAAGTACTTTAACACGTGCCACGAACACAACAAGATTCTACATTTGGCCAGAAGCTGCTGAATTATATTCATTTCATTTAAATCGTTGTCCATTACCACAATTTTGCACTTCTCCTCTACGACAGGATTCAAACAAAGGAATGTCTCTAGGAAAGACTAATGTTTCTGATGTCTCCCGCTGAACAAATGCATAACATACAGGCCTCCCATGGCTTGTTCCATCTTCACACAGAATTGAATGCAAGATATACCCTTCTTTATTAACTTTATACGTACCATCAAAGAACAACACTTCAGGGTATTTTTCTAGTAACTGGGTCATATGCTCTGATGGAAGCAATATGTACAAGAGACCATTTTCTGTATTCTTTTCAATATGAACCTTCCACCCAGAGTTTTCTGAAAACAATTCGTTGATTTTTTTTAACAGAAGGGCTCCATGATGAGCATTGTCCTGAATTTTTTGAACTGTTCTATGCTTCATGTTTATAATATATAATCACGAGAAGTAACGTGTTTTCCCGTTTTCCTCAGAATGGCATCCTTTAGGTCTTTAGGTTTCACATTACAAGAAATCAACTCCTGAAGTTGCTCTTTTTCAGAAGCACTTAATGCTCGATTATTGTTGTACCATACAAAAATCTCGGGACCTATTTTATGGTTGTGCACATCCGCTAAATTTACAACTTCATAATAGGGCTGTAAAGAAACCCGCAGCACAAGCTCAAGTTCAACGTTGCAACCTGTACCGTTGAAGCGTTGATTGGGTCAAATATTTTGTCCCCTCGGATTTGGATGCCCTGCTTGGCAACAGACAAATTTAACTCGAACATAAGAAAAGTCTGCTTTGTTTAAATCTTTCTCAGTACACAATGGGTTTTTATCTGATTTTTCAATACGCATCGGATGGAACCCTTCACTTTTCCATCCTTCAAAGCTAGCTTTAAACTCCTTATAAGTGCTGAATGTGCTTCCTACAGAAAGATTTCCTCCACCTGTGCAAATATGGCCGTGTGAAAATTTTGCTGAAGTTGCTTTCTGCTCACCACGAGGTGTGGAAGCGCTGGTGTCAGCTGCACTGCTGTCCTTGCACAGAACCACACCTTCTGACTGGGGGCTCACCGTGGATGTTACGCCACAGGCGTCGGGTGGCCCACAGTCAGAAGGTGGGCTCTGCTCAAAAGCAGCAGAGCACAGTGGCACGGCAGTACGCCCAGTCTTCGTCACTTTGTGGTGCACACTCGCACCACTGACAAGAGCAAGAGAAACTGGTTTCTTGTTACTGTGCCCTGTCCTATTTTCGACTCTAACCCCCTTCTCTACACGGGGATCACCACGAGGTGTGGAAGCGCTGGTGTCAGCTGCACTGCTGCCCTTGCGCAGAACCACACCTTCTGACTGGGGGCTCACCGTGGATGTTACGCCGCAGGCGTCAGGTGACTTACAGTCAGAAGGTGGGCTCTGCTCAAAAGCAGCAGAGCACAGTGGCACGGCAGTACGCCCAGTCTTCTTCACTTTGTGCTGCATCCACACACCACCGACAAGTGCAGGAGCGCGCACAGGGTGCCGTTTTACTTGAGCGAAAACAGTCACAGCTGAAGCCCTGGTGCATGCCACTGCAGTTATTGGCAGCGAAGGGTACCCATGAGCAGTGTCTGTTTCTGCGAATTTAGATGTCACTGACATCGCACTGTGACATTGTATGGTAGCAGAGTCAGACTTCCGTGCAACGTCCGACCACATTTCCTTGCATGGAGATTCAGGGGCTACAACAAGCATAGGGTCTGTGGAAAGAGCTGGGAAATTAGTTACATTATTCCAATACTGCGCCAGC